TGTGCACATCTGCTACTTCCTTTTATTAGTGCATATTCTTTTTGGTGATGCGTGTCAACTCGCTGAGCTGCGAAATGATACAACTTAGTCACTTTGGTAAAAGGACTGCACACGCTTAGCTAAGTCCCACTGTGCCCCCACCAAGCCGAACTGCGCCTTTAGTTCTGATAAAAACTAATGAAACTTATATAAACTAGGGTAACTGCAAAGTATTATATCTTTGAAAAAACCTTGAGATCACAGGTGGTATTGAGCAACAAGTTAGAAGGTTTAAGATCCCGATGAAGGACATTCGCCGAATGAATGTATTTCAGTCCGCGAAGAATCTAAACATTACAGTATAACAAATGAAAAACAACAAAACATTTCCAAAGAAAAAGCACAGAAATTTATCTTTTCTGTGGCTAAAAAATGCGTAAAAAAACAACAAAACCTCGACAACAATAAACAGCACATTCACCTGGTACAAGAAATAGCAAACATGGTCATTGGACAGCTTTTGCGTTTTGAGCAGCTTGTACAGATCAGTTTCCATTAAGCATTGCACGATATAACTGAAAACAACATTGAAACTTGCTTATCCCAACTATAATTGATACAAAAAGTTAAAATCATAGGAATTCGCTCCGGAACAAGCGACAAGATACGAAAAAATAATACCAGGACGGAAAAGCGTAAATGAAAATGAGTTGTTCCGCCACTAAAGGAGGTGGGGGGGTCTGCACGTTCGCTAGTTTACTTTGCTAGTTCACGTTGAAGGATGTGGCCGAACAATCTGGTAAAAAAGTAGGTCTAAAGTGCTAGCAGGTTGCTTTATTAAGGGGGAAATGGCGAAGAAACGAAGTGAAGCGGTCGAAAACCTGCAAAAAGCCTTTGTTCCACACGATTCAGAAAGCAATTTCGGACGAGTTTCCCGTTGGCATCGTGCCAATAACCGCTACGGTAGATACGGCTGCATGTATGTACTCATATATCCATGCAGCACCGCAGCCGCTTCATATCAATCCCTTCGCTTCATACTGTACTTCGCAAATGAAGCGATACGAGCATCAGCATTGGCCGGACATTTGTGGGCGGGCCGGTGCGGTGGGCGTGCGGGTCGGTATATTGCAACTTGATTCTTTCTTGGAAAAGGCGCCACGTAGCGCCTGCTCAGGGGCGCGAAATTCCATTCCGGCTAGGCGTATTTGTCTTGCATTTCTTGGGGGTTTGTCGTGCCACCTGCCTTTAACTAACAGGTCTTACTTTGGAGACTAGTCTACTTGTAAACTCTTGCTAAGCCAGAAATGGTGCAGGTTAGCCACTTTGGCTATGGGAAGTTACAGGTTTTCAGGACCTGTACAAGCTTTTCTAGGTTCCATTTGGTGCCCCCACTCAGCCAAACGGCGCCTAAAATTGTTCCAAGAGAAGCGTAGTAAAAGGAGCGAAAACCAAGATTACGAGAAGATTCTTCCCTCAGCAACAGCTACTAGTAAACAGTTTTAGCAATAGCTACTGGTAAACAGTTCGCAGCGGATTGGGGAGGTAAAGGGGTATTTTGTATTTTTGTCGCTTCCGATCGTCACGTTCATTGCTTTACAAGAGTTGAAAAATGGTTTCTGAAACTTTGTGTCACTCCATGGCTCACAAGATTTCACAGGTCTAAACTTGGTAGCGACACAACGATGGGAAGTAGCGAAAAAAACGAAATCCCCCCCCCCCGACGAGCGGAAAAAAACTGGGTCTGTTCTCTATCAGAATTCATTTAGAACTGAACTTACATGTCCTTCATTTGCTCCACAGAAACCGACCGGATTATTTCTTGTATATTGATAATCTGAACAAAAGAGCGGCTATGCAACATAAGCAACAGTGAAAAAGCCTTGACAGCAACAACGTTTTCCATTGCTTGAACCTCGTTAAAATCTTGATTTCACGTAATGTTCTTTGACAAAACGTTTGATGTTCGAAGGGGGAAATTTTCTTGATAGCAACTCGCTCTTCTCGGTGTTACTGTGTCCAAGGGCAGAACTGAAAAGAGCCAAAGTTTGCAACAAATCTTGAGCGCCTGAACAGTTTACAGGAGCTCTTAAATTCACGCCTTGAATAAATTGAGTATGGCCTAAGAATAATTATGTTCACTTCTCGTCGACGCTTGAGTGTTTAGGGCTAAAAGGAAACTATAGGGACCGATCCAGCATTTCTCCGAACGCTCAAAACGCCGACGAAAAGTATGAAGGCAGCCTGGGCGCAGTTTGTCGACGGGGGGGGGCATTCGCTTTCATAGATGTGCCGACCCATCTAGGTAGCCTTTTCTCGAGTTGACACGTTTTAGGATGGTGGCTAGACGATCTTGCTCCAGCTTCACAAGCGTTCACAAGTTTTACCAGAGTGAGATTTGTAAACCGGAACCAGGGAAGCAATGGTAATACAAAATGCCCCCCCCGTCGACAAACAGCGCCGGTAGCCTGAATGCTTACACAGTTCACAACATAATCCGGTAATCTGAGAGCTTCAAGAGTAAGCAACTCACGCGACCATGCCATAGGCTCCTTCTCCTATGTACGAAAGATTTACATAACGAGGTCCGACTTCAAACAGTTGGCCATGAACTTCTTCAACGTTATTGCGAGTCGATGCCGATTCCTCTTCTGTCATCTGGAATTCGAGATACTGAATGATTGACCAAGCTGATAAGCAAGCGTTCGGGACCGATATGGACTCATGGTCATACGAAACAACGATCAAGGCAGTAATCACGAATGAGCGAAGAAGAAAAGGAAAAATGACAGAAAAAATCAATGGAAAACATCCATGGATCACCCAGAGAAGTAGTCAATTCGATAAAAATCTAATGCAATCCTTTCCAAGAATAAGGACATTTTCCGGGTTCTGCACAGTGAAGGATGAGTGAGTAAGGAGGGGGACTGGCTGACCAGATTGAACCAGATCGAGAGCCTGTGCCGGTGAACTTCAGAAGTTACTACACGCGCCGCAACCGCATGCAGCCACACCCACGCGGATTTATTCCTTTGAAACTGCGCGAATCCAGCTCACTGCTACATCTAGCGCTCTGAAGAAGTTTCTAGTGATGATGTCATCCTAGATCCCTTGTTATCAGTACGAGGAAAATTAGCTGTTAACGCTGTTGGGGGAGGGGGGGGGGGGAGGGTCCACTCGGACTACTAGCCCGCGCCGGCAAGCGTATTGAGACGGAATGACTGTGGTCCACTGCGCTCTAAACTTTAGCCTTTGTTGGAGAATGCGGCCGATGGGTCCCCTACCCCGCAATTATGATAGTGTTGAAACTCTTTAGCGAAATGCCCCAAAATACCCGAACGATTCTTTAGAGCGCGCTGTTTGGTCGCTTGCACGATCCAGTCGCTCGGATAGCGAAGTATAAACGCGCACTCAGATCAGTTCTTCAACGAACGTTGGCCAATTCACACTTTCCCCCAATGATAACCGGCTTAACTTCTTTGTTTAGATGAAGCAAGGACAGATTCCCAAGAAATGCGCTGCAAAGATATCCTTATCGCGGAAATATGTCACAAGCTCGGCCGCCTGATTGTATCGACGGGGGGGCAGTTTTCTGCTATATATATTGCTTCCCCTTGTTTTTTTCCACCGGTTTACAAAGAACCTCACGCTGGTAAAACTTGTGAACGGCTTGTTCAATAAGCAGCGCACGCAAGTAATGTCGCCATGCGATACGCCACCATTCTAAAAATGTCGGTCAAACTCGAAAAAGTGTCGGGATACCTTCGGTCACAGGTTCCACTAGATGTGTTGGCCATACCATCCTGAAAAGCAGCAGCGCCCCCCCCCCCGTCGATAAACAGCGCCCAAAGCTCCTTTCGTAACAGAATTTTCGGAAGTGTGAGCAAAAGGATGGGATATTCAAATGATCTCCTGTGCAGAACTGGCAGTACTGCCACTCGAACCTCCCCCCCCCCCCCCCTCCCTTGCACGAAGGATTTTTCCGCATGCCCATCCCGCACCTTCTTATTACTAGCCCTAAGCGAAATCCTCATCTCCGTGACGCCATTCCAAGTTTTGCGTAATAGATTATTTAAATGCCCCCACCCAGCCGATTACTCAGGATAAAAAGATTGCAAAGATGCTTACACTACTCTCCAATCCCTCAACATCCCTGGATTTAATCGCAAATCGCCTAAGAAAGTTCAATCGTAGACTCCTCTACAATCTGCTGCTTAGACTGGTTTGCCTAGCCTCGATAAAAATATTACAAGGATGTCTTCAAGCAGCAAAACAACTAGAAATACGAATTCAAATATTACTGGGAAAGCGCTAAACAAAAAAATTACAGCAAGAAGACAAAAAAGAACGTGCAAGTGTGCAGAGTAAAGACTAGGAATGAATCGTTTGAAGCGACCACGTCGCTCCGAACACGGCCAAATCAATACGATCAAGGTTCTGTTTGCACAAAAAAGTGAAGCGTAGCTTGGTTGTCGCGAATGCGGAAAAAAAACGGATTGCTCAGTGAGGTAAAAAGCAAAATCTGAATGGCTGGCCTTTCTACTGAAAGTATAACAAATGACTGTGACTAAAAATTATGAAAAAAGAAAAATTACGATCAGTGCGTGAAACGGAAGGGGGAGGGAAGAAAAAGAGCGAATCTTCCAAATGCGATAAATCAGTACTGGCAACTGGTTCCTTCGCAAGGGCTTTAAAGAAAACAAAACCAAGAGAAATTAGCTGGCCTTTCTCATCGTCACAACTTCTTAGGATATTGAAACCATATTACATCACGCTTACCTGTGGATAGAGCTTAACAAACATAGCTAAAAATGTATCAAAAACGAATTATCCTATTTGCTGGGATATAAGGCACATGTCGCGGAGTCGTACGCGACAACGCGCGCGCGAAAACTTGGTAGACACAGAAACAATTTTGCGTTTTGTGCATATTTTCACCTCCCATAGAAAAGGGAATAATAATCGGTTTTTCCACAGCAAAAACTTGTCGTGAAATAAATAAACTGTACCACTTGTGATCTGCTTTTCTGAAAGAAAGATGGCAATTTCAAGAAACGGTGCAAAACTCGATAATTCAGCATTTGAATTCCATTGAAATTAAACCTATGGATCGAATGGATTCCAAAGTCCACATAGAAAGATGAGCGAAGGAGTTTCATTGGAAGCGTTTCATTCCACAAGTTTCTCCCTTTGAGGGAAGAGATGTCGTGAAATAAAGTGGTTTGTCTGCAGTCACACTAAAACCCCATCTGTCTGTCAGGGCACATCGTTGTTGGGGAATCCCCAATAGGGGGTCGTATTTGGTCGCCAGGAGGGGGGGTCGTATTTGGGCTGAGAAAAATTTATTTTGATAGTTGATTTTTCTCGCTTCATGGACGTTGTAAAGGGAGGGGGGGTCGTATTTGATCATTTTGGGAGGGGGGGGTCGTATTTACGTTTTGGCGTTGTGGGAGTGGCGGTTGACTTTTGGTGATTTTCCTGTTTCATGCGTACTATATGCCCTCCCCCTCCCCCACCCCCCGCTCGACAGCAAAATTTTTGGTAAAAAAGTAGGGAAGTTTTCGGGAAATTTTGGAAAAAAGGGCAGGAAGTTGGGGAAAATCTGATTGTAGAGGAGAGGGGTCGTATTGTCTCGCGGCTTTTCCTGTTTCACATGTGCTATTTTACCCCCCCCCCCCCCTCACCCTCCGCTCGACGGCTCGATTCGATGAGGAAGGACAGAGGTGGCTTGGGTCGTACCAACTCCCAAAAAAAGGGGGGGGTCGTATAGAGTCGACTAAAATCCCCAAGCAATGATGTGCCCTGCTGTCTGTAAGCGGGAGTGTTTGGGGCAGCACGCTGGCTTCAGGACTTGGCATTAGTATGACTGGAGGTGCTACTCACAGCCTTTCACTATACTCCTTTCCCAACCAAGGCTTAAGCTCGTAGGACGAAGCTTGTAAGGCCTTACAGGCCTGTCGTCTAGAAGGCCTTACAGACGACAGAGGCTTGCGAGACCTCACAGAACAGACACAATCGCAAAGAAGAAGTCATCATAAGGGAATTCTACTATAAATTTAGGGGAACAGAAAGGCTACAGTATCCAGAAGTGCGCGTACGGAAATCGAAAGCGTCCAGTACCCGTCATTAAACGCCTGGGCAGCACCTGGCTGCAGATGGAGAGCGAAATTGGCGTCACTCTCGCTTTCTGGCATCCCCTCCCCCGGAGCTCTCTGCGCCTCATCTCCCTCCCCCCTCCCTTGGAGAGTGAATCGGCTGATGGTAGGCCCGGTGGAGTTGTGTCGAGTGCACTCACGGGACTGACATTTTTAATTTTATGAGCAATTTTTGGAGGTACTGTATACTGCATGCTTTACTAAACTTATAAACTTCTGTTGTCATAGCCGCGGGGCTCCCTACACTGCGCCTTGTCCTTCCATATCGTGTTGCTTCACATGTCCGCTCATCTGTGCCCTCTCACCGAGACAGCATTCGGCCAAGTTGGTTGGTGCGCCGCTTATCCGTCTCCTCTGCGAGATTCCCGCATGTCGACTGTGGTCGTCTGTGCTCTGAGCCATAGCCTTGAGGGAGGGGAAGAGACGAAGGGGCTCCATCCCCAACTATGTTAGCGCTCAGAAATTGAACTTTAAGGGCGTTAGGGCGTTTTGGCATAGACTGTGTGCTGACTGTCACGCCTATTTACCGCCAGGCAAAAACGAAGAGGTAGAGGAAGCTGGAAACATGGTGCAAAACGACACCCCCCCCCCTCCCGACTATGAGTGCGTAACCAGTCGTGTTCATGATAAACGATCTCTATCAGCATCTGCATACTTCTGCAATGCTTTGTTTACGTTTCAACCTTGAGAATTTCTAAATTAACCTCAACAAACAGCTGATGAAGTCGTGAGGTAAGACTTGTTTTTACTCTCTTTCTAATAAAAGATGATTGACGCAAATTACTAATCTCCTCCAATACAGGGATCTCGACTATATGAGATGCATAAAACGAAGGAAAACGTGTTTGGGGGGGGGGGGAAGCATAGATGGTTACATTCGTCGCAGGTTACTGTCAAAGAGGAGGCAATTTGTGCGCTACTCTGACCTCCTGCGCCATCCTACTGATCATCCTCTGTAATCCCATCTTCCTAGGACTTTTCTCCAGTTTTCCAGGAATTTTCTAGCTTTGCCGCTAAAGCTGCGGGGCGGGCAGTGTCTTCTCGATCCCTCGCCCCCCCCCCCTCCCGATTATGCCTTCCAATGATTTAGACAGCTTGCACGAAAGAGGAAAGCCTCAGCTATTGAAAAGAAAACGTCTCCTAGCTAAATTCCGAACCCCTTCCGTTCTACTTCCAGCGACTGAATATACCACCCGCGCAGGGTTCCTGACGTACGACATTCCCTGGTGTCTCTTCTCACCCCCCACCCCCCAATACGTTTAGCGCCTAAGGATATGAATTATGGGCGGGGCATCCCAAGGCATCTCAAAACAACCAACACACATATTCCCTTGATTACAGACTTTGGGAGAATTTCAATACCCTTACAATTTGAAAAGGAAGATATGAGACCCTTTTTGCCACAAAAAATGCAGTTCACAGCTATCACAGAACTCCTCCAAATGGAATATCTAATCAGAGATCTCTCCCTGTCGCCCGTTGTTTCTTTGTTCGTCCAATTAA